ATAAGTATTATATATTTTTATGCTTTAAAATTTACACTAACTCTCCTGTCAGAATTTATGGTATGCGTAGTGTTACATATGACAGTATATAAAAGGTCAAGTACGATGTATACAAACACTAACAGTACAAGTCGAAGCGCCTTCGCTTGAAACGTCGAAGTTCTCCTTGTATTTTTCAGGTAGTCGTATCCCTATCAATCCGAAGCTTTCGTACATATTTCCTCCAGAATTTCTAGTTGTTTTCAATTCGATTTCAGTGTAAATAAAAGTAAAGTGTAACGAGAAATTCCAAATACTTTGTTTATATTTTGCTGCAATTGCCAAGCATGCGTAGAACTCACGTTGGAAATCCAACGTACTTATCTGCCGTTAGCCAATCACAGGCCTGAATCAATTCGATTTCTCCAGAGCTATGCCCACCCTTAACCTGCGAACGGGCATGCTCGGGGAACGAGATTGACATTGTCGTTGAGACGTAAATACCTAATCAATTTGTCATTGCCAGGCACACAACGTCTCGCCCGTCAAGTTGGAATGGGTCGTGCAATGGAGATAATTCTCGCAGCTCACGATTTTGATGCTGATTTAGCGGAGAGATATGGCTCCATTAACCGCGCTCTAAATCCAGACGAGATCGGACCATTTGTTGAAGAACTCGCCAACCGTATCGCCAAGTTTCCGGCTGGATCAATCACCGCGTGCAAAAGATGTGTCATTAAGGTATACTATGCTCAGAATAAGCCAATTCAGAGTTCCAACGGCACATCCAAATGATACGTTCCGCGTCGGGATCAGTGAAATAGAGAGTTTAAGCAAGAGAACGAAGTCGGACGACGACGACGTGGTTGACAATTTTTGCCTGTCTTGCACATTATCTTGCGCATTCTGAGTTTAGGGTCAGGGGTAAAGACAGATTCAGAGATTTATGTCTAGCTGTTTATGAATGCTGACCCAATCCTTACCCTGATCAGGACAAAACAGCGAGACATGAATCCATATCCCGTCTTCGTTCTTCTGCCTTCGTTCACAACGAATATTTTGGCAAAATTTGTTGTGAACTTCATTCCGAACGAAGACAGAAGGACAAAGACAGGATATAGTTTCATGTCTCGCTGTTTTCTTCTGGGTCAGGGCAAGAATTAGAGTCAGTACACACAAACAGCGACACATGGGAAGACACGCTGAGCAACCACCAACGACGTCCAACTCAGTATGCGCAAGATAATGTGCAGACGGCAAAAATTGTCAAGTACGCCTTCGTCTTCGTACTTCGTTGTCTTGCTCAAACTCTCTAACTGAAAACCTCTAACTGGAAATTTTAAGCCAAACTTGAATGGCACGGTTAATTAATCCGTCAACATGAATATGTGTTCTTGAAAACTGGCTTAAGATTTACAAAAAAACCTTTTTAACAGCACTGCATGGAAACATAATAATAATTAATACATTTATTCATGCAGGTAAGACTTCCTAGTAGACTTTACTTTTGGTTTTTTCTTGTTTGAACGACTCGCGAAAGAATCGCGAAGAATAAACACGCGAGTCAGATTTGGCTTGAAGAAAATGATATCCTGTTTGTCCGAAGGTGGCCTTTCCAGTTATTCATTTCGCTGATCGGGATAAATTGCAGCTGAACTATAACCGGTAGTTGAAACTGAAAGAATTAAAATATATTACATATAGAAGAATTCATTTGAATATGCAAAAAGTTAGTCAAAGAACAATTTGTTCCCGCGCGGTCGACTGGTTTTAAATTGGAAAATATAATCCCTTAAGTTTACCCATAGTCTATCGAAGGGAAGATGGCTGTGAAACTCATTATAATAACAATATTTATTTTTTATCAGTGAAAATGAAGCAATCTGATTGGCTGAGGAGCCCTTCAGAGCGGGCCGGTTTTTTGCATCCGGCCCGCTCTGAAACGCAACTGCCCGCTGTGAAATGCAACTGCCCGCTCTGGTTTTCGCGGCAAAAACTGAGGAGTGAAACAATTTTTAAACGAAAAAATCTGCCAAAAACGTTTGAAAAACATAGCCTAACGATAGTCAGAATACAAAAATGAATTGCACCAAGCCCTAAAGGCTTCATACTAAGCACGATGTTCACGAGAATTGACCATTTGCGTAATAGACTAAATTTTGATCTCAACAAAAATTTCATCACAGCTTGAAAGAGCATCACAAAATTAGTAATATTCCAAAGTTTCGTTGCAAAATGTTGTAAAATGCGGAAAATATAGCCTTGCGAAATTTGCAATTTTCAGTCATTTTAGATTACAAACCGGAAATTGACAGCCTCGAAGGGTTTGGGGCTGTCAATTTCCTGTTTGTAATCTAAAATGACTGAAAATTGCAAATTTCGCAAGGCTATATTTTCCGCATTTTACAACATTTTGCAACGAAACTTTGGAATATTACTAATTTTGTGATGCTCCTTCAAGCTGTGATGGAATATTTGTCTAGACTTGTTTAGTTCAAAATTTAGTCTATTACGCAAATGGTCAATTGGAAATACTTTGATTGAAATGCGACTGAAAGTCGGAAAGTAGTTGACATGTATAAAAATTACGTCGAGGAAACTATATATTTTTTAAATGCTCATGTATTCGGCCACTTAAAAGCGAAAAAATTACAGCTTAAACAGATATTGTAAAATAAATGTTTTCCCATTTAAAAGAAGGTTTAACTGCAGCAGTGAAAACAACTCACGAATATATTCTCTACCCATTTGTGTCATGTATTTTTCGCTGATATAAATATTGTAAACAAAGTAAAAGTTTGTGTTTAAAAACACTTTTTTCAAGCATGTTATCGTGAAACGACAAGAAAAATACAAAAATATAAAAATAACATACCTTTTTCATTGTCTTTTTTGTAGAAAAACGTTAATTAAATTAAATCAAAACAGATTCATTTTTACATGTTTTTGATCGGATCTGAACATGAACCTGTCGTTGTCAGGAGCAACTTGTCAAAGCCAAAGCCAAAACGCCAGCAATAAAAAGATTTTATTCCAAAGCTTCTCTCAGTTCTCTGCTACCATATTCATGAAAAAGCATGTACATTTTTACTGAAACTATACGTCTTTTTGTGTGTTTCTTGGCAGTTTTCTCGAGTTTTCGTATTCGTGTTTTATATCTTTTAACTTTTCAATTTTTGTCAGCCTCGCTTTGAAAATACACAACTGCACTGATCTCAAATTAGTTCGCAAGCAACACTGGAATTTTAATCAATTTAATTTTTACATCTGATAAAAAATAAACACGTTATTTACCGGCAGCGTCGGTCCGGATGAGAAAAACTGTGCCCTCGGTCTTGAAAACGTCCCTCGCCCTTCGGGCTCGGGCCGTTTTCAAGACTTCGGGCACAGTTTTTCTCATCCGGACCTCGCAGCCGGTAAATAACATATATGTACTCATCTATGTTAGTCAACCTTTATTCATAAATCCGGCCCTTCACCGTCACGTGCGTATTGTATTTTTGCCCAACTAACCAATATAGTAATGTTTCAGGGTAAATTGGAAATTGCTATTGGCAGATTTGGCTGAAAAATACATGCAATACGCACGTGAAGGACCAGATTTATGAATAAACGTTGACTTACATGGATATCATGTTAGTTATTATATTGCCGGATTATTCTAGTGAGTTTCACGGGCATCTTCCCTTCGATAGGCCATGGTGGACAGTTCTGTTGGGGCTATAAGTGAAACCATGAAACAGTTCAACACTTTGATATGCATATTTTGATACTTCCAATCTCAGCTACAATATTATGATTGAACTGCAATTACAGTAGATATAGGTTTGATTATTAGGTAGGTCAGTAGTTCCCGATGCAGCCACTCGTCCCGTATATATAGGCCTATATTGGTAAGGACATTGTGGTAAACGCAACTGCCGTTTTCTATACACACTTTAAGTCGTTTACAATGTTCCTTTAGGCGGTGGAGACTCCAATAGAGGATGGTCTCAAAGAGGAAGCGTACCAATTAGGTCAGGCAATGGCGTCCACTCCTGCAGCCAAACGATTTGCATTTGGTAAGGAACAAGGAATTCAGAATGACTTGGAAACTCAGAAAAATTGGGATAATGGAGTTATGGACATTCAAAGCATTCAATAATGATTAGGTATATTTGAAACACTCATTCTCAAAAGCCCCTAGCTTTTGGGGATGATCAATTACTCACTCAATCAATCAAAACCAGATATGGAGATAAAAATTAGTTTTTGATCATTTTTCGTTAGTTTTTGGTGATTTTGAAAATTGTGGTAATGATTATGGTAATTTTTCAGCATTTGAAACTAATTCATATTATAATAAATATATAGAGCTTGGCTGTAATAAATGTAGTTATCATGTAGACATAGTTACCATCTGTAACTTATTAGCTGTTTCTGATGAGGTTTCAGTCTTCCAAATTTCCTATTCTCAATCCTACTTTCTGAAACTTTTGTCGAGATCACTTTTACGAGTGATTACAAGACAAGTTTGGATGGTCCTGGCCACTAAGAGATGCTTGGCTTTGGTGTTATAGGATTAAGGGGAAGTGATAAAATGGACTTGTACGGTTGTGGACAGTGAAATGAATGTACTGGAACCTCATGCGAAGAGCACGGTCAATCCGTCAACATGAAAATGTATTCTTAAAACCAGCTTACAATTTACAAAATACAACTTTCTAGTATAGACTTTACTTTTAGTTTCCTTATTAAAACAGCATGCACGCTCGCTCCCTGAACTGGTCTCGCGTGCGAATCGCGAGGCATAAACACGCGCGTCTTGACCCCCAGACACGCGTGTCTGGGCGTCAGATTGGGCTTCAAGAGAAAGATAGGCAGTTTATCTAAAGTGAGCGTTCCAGTTATATTCATTTCGATGGTTGTGGGTGCCTTTTCGTGCTTTCTTTCTCCGTTTTGGTAATTTTTTGTCCGCTGATCTGGCAGCTGCCCCTGAAAAAAACCTATATCTCCAGCGGGCCGATTCAGGTTCGAATGCCATGCAGTTAGCGCTGTAAAGTCCGTAATGTAAACAAACACTTTGTTTACATTTTGAACTGCTATATTTGTAAAATATGATATACTAACTGAATATCTAACTTTTCTGGTTCGCTATATGCTTGTAAATGAAAATAAACTCTACGTTTAACTTTGATTCCAAAAAGTTCGAAAGATGAAAAATTTAGGCAATATGTTTATATCTGCGGGTCCCGCTTTGTTATGAGCCGAACTGAGGGGCAGAACGGACGACTTTACAGCATCTTTAACAGTAATGGTTAAGGAAAAACTTCAAAGTAATCTTTCCAACAGCTCTGTATAAAGCATGGAGATATTTTTCGGAAATGTTGTCTCATATTTTCCTAAGGAAAAGTTTTGAAATAACAAGTAGAAATACCCAAACCAAAAGAGCAAGTTAAATTTTAACTCTTTTATCAACGTGTGGGATCCATGATCAACCCACGTCAAAAACATATTTCAAGAAGGCCGAAACTCGATCACAGCAGCCCAAGCTCAAAGAGTGTTGGAATGGCAGTCATCTTCAATTTTAATTGACATATAATGTTTTTGAATAGTGCAAATAAACGAATAAAATTACCCTAGATACTTACTACTTAGATGGAGCGTTTTCACATGACGTCACAGCCGCCATGTTGGTGTTCCAATTCAAAATAATTTTAATTCGACCCTTTTGTCTGGAGCTCGAGCACCAACATGGCCCCCATGGCTTTTGTTGAGTTGGTCCCTGAGGAATGAGTGCAAACGCTCTATATTAATAATGTACTAGAAATACATGCATGCAGCAACCCCTCGCATGTATTTTCCAAACATTGATTTAACATGAAGTATTAGTAATTGATTAACACTGAACCTGTGACTGAACGCAGGCTCGCGTTTACGTCAGTGTTGCCATGGCAACACGATAAATTTAAGTCTTATTTAACAAATATAAAACATTTTCCGTGTTGATATACAGTTATATCAACATGAGTGGAATTGGGAAAAGGAGAAATTGTATGGAAACACGTACGACGCCCGAAGGGCGGAGTGTTTTCATATCATTGCGAGTTTTCCCAACTTCCACGAGTGTTGATATAACTATATATCAATACGGAAAAAATGTTTTATATTTTTTTTATGATATAGCAATGTCAAAATCCCGAAGCCGAAGGATAAGAAAAATTTCCCGTGTTGACATTGAGTTATATCAACACGGCTCTTAGCCAATCAGCGTTCGGAATTTACAAATGCTATATTATAATATATTTTTTGTACAACACGTCAGAAATAGTTGAAAGATTATTGCTTATAACTATAACAATGAATTTCCGAAATATGTACTGTAGATATGTTGTTCTACATTTTGTGAGCTTTGATTTAATGTAAAATTGAACGTGAATCGCTTCATAAAATGTTTTGAAATGTTCATTTTAATATTAAACTATGAACTGCTTTTTCCGATATAAAACTGTACGGGTTTTTATATAGTTTATAAAACAAAATAAGTTCAAACTGTTGAGTAATTTCAGTTCGGTTTTCAAATGAATTTGCTCTCCTTTACATTTTACCTTTTATTCTTAAATTAAACAGGGTAATTTAGCAAACTTTAATACACTAAATACAGCGTCATTGAAAAGGAAAGCAGTGCATGTTTCACGCAGTAAATTAAAGCAACAAAATTCATAAACATTAAACATTCAAAGCAAACTTGCCCTATATTCCACGATTATCCACAGTAAATTAATTCTTCTCAGTTCTTCAAACAAAAATTGCTTCAAAGCTCATTGTGTGAAACGTGATTTTCCAAATATATGCTTTTGAAAATTGAAATCTTGCTTATCCCACTCCTGGCAAACAGCCATATTTTTGAGATCAGTGAGGACGACCACCCACGGTTGGTGACAACCATTGAACTATAAATAAACTATAAATAATGATGTTTATTTATAGTTCAATGGTGACAACCTCGTTCCCAGGGTCTTTAGGAAAGACCCTGGTATCGGCTGGTCACGTGCCTCGTCCAAAATTGATTGCCCGAGGGGGGTGTGGTGAAAGTATCAAATTACAAACAGTTAAAATTTTGCTAACTATTACCAGTAAGTTCAAAATACTTGCTAATTTTTGTTTATTTTATTTGCTTTGAATTTACAGGAACATTCTTACATTTTTACCAACAGTCAAGTCAAGAAACCAAGCAAATCGTAACTCGCAGTGCTCTCTCGTGTTATTATTATTCAATGCTCTCTTCACACTCGAGCGCGGTTCTATATTAAACAAACGTTTATGGGCTTTTCAGTGGTCACCATTTCTACATATCTAATGTTTTTAAAACAAGCATTAGATTTTAGTGTCCTTTTTTGTAAACGTTGCTATGCTTTGCACGTCTTGTTTATAAGATTTTTAAAAGAAACAGTATTGTATTGTATAGTACGGTGGCCCATACGGGCCAACCCTTCTCCGTACAAAGTTGCACCTTCTCCGTACAAACTTGCACCTTCTCCGTACAAATGTGTTGTTATTCCATGAAAATCAAACTTCTCCGTGGAATATTGCCGTTGTTCTGTATAATAATAATAATTTATTCATTTAAATAAAGCGCATAGGTTATATTATATACTCGAAGCGCTGTACATTATAAAAATCCAAATATATTAAGAATTAAATATGCTATATAAAACATGGTATTGTATACAATTAGAATATACATTAATGTATGTATCTATAATAAGAATGATAGAATCCAATATGGTCTCAACCTATAAAGGGTTATAAGCCTTATTGAAAAAAAATGTTTTCAAGCGTTTCTTAAACACAGAAATGTTTTCACAGTTCCTGACATCCAAAGGCAGAGAATTCCATAATTGTGGAGCAGCATGTGCGAAAGCCCGATCTCCGAGAGTCTTACAGTTTGTTTTGGGGATGTATAGTAGACCTTGACCATCCGATCGTAATGTCCATCGATCACTTGATTGTTTTGGAATAAGCATTTCAGAGATATAGATAGGGGCAATGTTATTAAAAGCCTTGTAAACCAGTAAGGCAATTTTGAATTCCACCCGGAATTTTACCGGTAGCCAGTGAAGTGATCTCAAAACTGGGGTGATGTGAGAAAATCTTGGACAGTGGTAGATTAGTCTAGCAGCGGCATTAAGAACTCTCTTACCCTTACCCGGGGTGAGACAGCATATCAAATTCGACGATAGTTTGTCGCTTTATGCTGTCCCACCCCACGTAAGGAGGTAAGGCGTTATTGTCAGTATGTATTGATTACGTCACGTCCACGATCGTGCCCGAGCAGCCCTAAGTATTTTGAACAGTATCCGAAATTGTGGAGATTTTGGTTCCGTTCGTCGCTAAATTTGCCCAAGCTACGATCAAACCATATTATTTAGAAAGAGAAATCTTTGTGAAAAGATGTAATCGAATTTGTTTTGGCGTACGAGAAGTTTGAGCGGAGATATTTGACTTTGAAGGCGATGCGGTCGTGCCGCCAGTGATTAGCCTTTTACTGTTATATTATATATAGATGAGCACACACAATGTAGGCCACAGAAAATATTACATCAACCGCTCTAAATGAGCTCATGTATTAATTAAAAGAATGCAAAGGTATTATACTATCATGTCAACTATATTTTATTGTTAAAATGTATTTATTTGACCAATTTGAGAATGTTTTTAGAATAGTTTTGGTTGACAATTTAAAATTTGTTTATAAAAACCGTTAAAAACCCGCAACACCTGATCATTCATTCTGAGATTGGGCCGCCTGTGGGTAATCCGGTAATGGATATTTTGAATGAGATTTTCTCAGGGGTCAAATGTAAAAATTGAAATTCTTCCAGGGTCTCTCTTCATGGGTATTAACAGGAATTCTTCAGTGGATCTAGGAATTCGTTGAATATACTCTTACCGCTCGTTGCAAATCACGCAGGCGCCTATTTAAAAAGCCCCAGCAACTTAACGCTCGAGAGAGCGTCTTGTTCATTTTAATTAGATGCGAAAGTTAAAAATGCCTAGAAAAGGTTTAATTAATTTAGAAAGTTTCATTTAGATTTCTATTTTAATAATTTTGGCTGTCAAAAAAAGTGGGGGGGGGGCTAAAGCCCCCCCAGCCCCCCCGTCTCCGCGGTCCCTGTATACGGATCTGCTAGTGTAGGTATTTGTATATCCACTCAATTTATAAAAGTATAAATCCACAAATAAAAATGATATTAAACATAAATATAAAAAAGTAAAACTTAGTATGTATACTTCCGAGTATCAACACTACAAAAGCTATAAACGATCAAAATCTCTGCCTGGCAATTCTCACAATTTATATGCTGGATATCTGTGCCCATATTAAGACTATAAAAAGCACAACAAGTATTTGAAGCACAGGGAAACAAAAAGAAATATGATTAAAGCATTCATATTTATAAAATTGGCTTGTAATGACTGTAATGTTTTGACCACGATGTTGCGTTGTGATTTTATTTTCTCTTCCCCCCCCCCTTCGTATAAAACCAATAAATATTCAGGGGGGCGTGCCTTTTTTAATTCACAAGGAAAGTGCTCATCCACGGAGAAGGCACGTGTTTCTACGGAGAAGGCACGTGTTTCTACGGAGAAGCTGCATGTTTCTGCGGAGAAGAGGTGCCCCGTTCGGGCCACCGCATCGTGTTTCACACAAATGCTACGCGTTTCCGCGAAGAAGCTGCGGTGTTTCCACAGAAATGCTGCGTGTTTCCACGGTGAAGATGCGTGTTTCCACGGAGAAACTGCATATTTGTACGGAGAAGAGGCTTTCCGTGACAGAACAACGGCAATATTCCACGGAGAAGTTTGATTTTCATGGAATAACAACACATTTGTACGGAGAAGGTGCAAGTTTGTACGGAGAAGGGTTGGCCCGTATGGGCCACCGTAGTATTGTCTATAGAGAGTAGAGCCCGATATCAGCAAATGTAAACATTTGATACTAGCCAAACAGAGAAATGTCTGTCAGTGATTTATCTTTAAAATTTTGGATTTAGTACATAATTCGTATTCATTAATTATAGTAAGGCTTTAGCCTTTTTCTTGGTCGGATAATGTTTTCCTAATATGCACACAACTAGGCTATAATCTACATCACAAATTTACAGTGTGAGACGCGCACAGACTGCCATACAAATACACATAAATTTTCGAGTTTTCAACTGCTACTAAGGCTACTATTAAACAGTTTTCATTGTGTCTCAATCATCTGTTTATTTCTAGTTCAATAAGTTCATTTATATTTCTATATTTATTTGATAGTGCACGTGGCATATATAGTGATACATGTAGGCTATTTACAGTTTTACACACACAGGGACCGCGGAGACGGGGGGCTGGGGGGCCTTTAGCCCCCCCCACTTTTTTTGACAGCCAAAATTATTAAAATAGAAATCTAAATGAAACTTTCTAAATTAATTAATTGGGGGTTTTATTGATGATTTAGCCCCCCCACTCTCTAATACGCTCCGCGGGCCCTGACATGTGTAAACAATAGTACTATTCTGACTGTAAAAGCACAGGATTAAAACCCGTTATGGACTGGCTATAAAATTCATTTCATTTACATTGCTGAAACTCAACGATCAAGAAAGATAATGTCGAAGTGTAGCTAGCTGTCTGTTATCACACAAACGCCAAGACTCCTTCGTGCGTTTCCGTGCGTGCACCAGACACTGGTAGTGGTATTGTACTTTATATAAATTATTTCATATTTTGTATATACAGTAATTTGCAACATGTATAATATTAGACCTTTCATTGACATTGGCATTGTCCATTGAGGGCTTTATTGAAGATAATCCAGCTTCTTTAGACTTGTATAATGGATTAATGCCGCTGTGAGTTATCAATATTTAAATCAACTTTAATCTTTATCGTATACTGTAATCGACATTTTAGAAGTTTAGTCTGTTTTACCAAACAATACTGAAGGCAAACAACCTATCTATCAATGGAAACTTTAAAAGGTTTGTTACAGGAAAACTCATTAATATAAGCGAGACTTTGTGTGCATATACAGTTTATGAATTATGTATATCCCTGATAAAACGTAGGACACTCTATACCAGATATAATAAAAAATACTTTGTCTTTGCTAAACCTTTTCGGCTGTCATTCCTTTGCATTTAAGGGGAGAGGGTAAATGGCGATAGAATTTATAGGAGATGCTGTGCAATATTTTGGCTTCAACAGACAGGTACTCGTGCAGACAAAAAAGGAAATTCATGCAGTTTTGAATTGTCGTATGTCAGCTGTGCACTGTCGATTTCGAACAATTTTGTACGTTATATTTTGTCTTCCTGGTGTTTAATATAAACGATGATAACCTTTTAAAAAGAAATCTAGAGCAATATGTCTATAAACAGTTTTAGAATCAATAGAATGGACATTCAATGTGTATTTGGCTTGTGTCCAAATGTGTCACGTTTAAGACCGGCAAGGCGCTAATCCTACGACCTATAAACAGTCGCTTTTGAGACATCTGTTTAACAAAATTTATACCATGTCAATATAAGAACAATTCATTGGCATATTATAAGCATATTATAAATATCAGAGCCAGAACAGAAACGTATGCGTGAAATAAAACTACGCCCGAACCGGCGAACCCCGAGAAAATAAAAATATTTCAAAGCGTACAGTCATACGTTCTCGTTGCTTGATTTCCTGAATTTTCTGTTGCTATAAGAATCTTCATTTTAGCATGTTTGTATAATTTAAAAGCAAACAGAAACCAATTTAGCACGTAGTTTGAGGTATATATGATTCTTGAAGATGAATTAATGATTGTACAGAACGGGTGGCCACTCCTTGCAATCGAAGTGCGGAAGTGGAAACATGTAATATGAGACTTTTCCATCCCCCTCTTGGGCTATCAATTTTCAATGGGTCACGTGACCAGCTCCGACCAGGGTCTTTGCTTCCCAAGAGCAAAGAGCCTGGGAACGAGGTTGGGTCTTTCCTTCGCTACTTCGTTGGCACAGAAATACTCCAGCAATTATACTATACATTGATTTATCCATATCTAACATATGCTTTAACGGTATGGGGTAATACATATGCATCCAACCTAAATGTTTTAACTTTATTACAAAAAAAGGTAGTAAGAATGATAACATTCTCTAGCTTCAAAAGTCATACCTCTCCACTTTTTAAGCACCTTAACATTATGTTTGTTTCTGCACCTTAACATTATGTTTGATATTGTTCTATTTATGTTTGATTTTCACACCGGCAATTTACCAACTATATTTGATAATTTCTTTAAAAATGTTACTGAGGTGCACAATTACAATACGAGGTCTTCTGCTAAACAGCTACTATACCTTCCAAAAGTTCGAACAAATTATGGCAAGTTCAACATACGTTATCGTGGCAGCGTAGTCTGGAATTCCATTGATATGGAAATAAAATCCTTAAAAAGATGTAAATTTAAGGCGTCATTAAAAAAATCACTCCATCAATCGTACCTTTGACGAATCTGGTTTTGTAGACATCTTTGATGATACAATATTTATACTTCCATGTAAATAACTTTATATTTATGTGTGTGTCGTCTGTTTTTTGTCTTCTATGATAACGTTTTCATGTATTAGTGAGCTAAGTCTTTTTCTTTTTCTATTGTATTTCTTATTTGCCGTCTTGTTTTGTCTCCAAGTAGAGTCACATGTGCTACCTAAATTTATTAGCTTTTATATAGTTATTATAGGTAGCCTTTACTCTAATTTCTGTATTTGTAATTGTTGTTGTGTTTTTCAAATTCGCACTATGTAATGAAAGAGTATAAATAAATTATTTTATCTTATCTTATCGCGCCGTTCTAAGAAAGACCCTGGGAACGAGGTTGGGTTGGTGACCGACGCTCGCGCTCATTGATGAACTTTACACTTGGCTAATGCTTCCCTTTCCCCGGGTGTAAATAGCCGGGGGGAATTAGTACCCTCGCACGGCGCTTCGCGCCGTCGGCTCCGGGATAACGATAAAGTTACTGTTCTGTTCTGTTCGATCTGTCATACTCTTTTGTTCTGTCATGTTTGCCTACAAAGGCGATTTCAAGTAGTTTTCCACCACTTTCTTTGGTCATGTGTAAATTTCCAGTTACATATGGCCATGGCAAAGTACTTCAAATCGCATTTCTAGGCAATTTCGTTCGTTTATTTTGCACTATTTAATTAATTAGTTAAAAGTAATATTGCCTATTCAATTATTCATCCCAACACCTTATGAGCTTGGACTGCCTACGGTCTTATATGTAGTTTGTAGGAAGAGATTATTTCGCTGGCCTCAGAGTGACAAAACGTAACTACAAAGCAACGGTTTTACTAATACTAACCCTACTCCAATCACCAACTCTAACCCTGATCCTAAACCTTACCCTAACCCTAACCTATTAACCCTACTCCAAATTTGTTTCTAAACCAATCTTGACTGAAAAAAATTTCTGAGTTCAGCGAATAGTGGTTCAGAGATAAGATATTTCAATTCGCCATTTTGAATTTGGACAAAATTTGCATTGCATCATGTATAAACAAGCAAAAAATGCAAGATCTTTTGTTAAATTCATCAGACACATGGCGGCACTTATTGTGATTATCTATTTTTGCTATTATTATATTGGGCAAACGTTATTAATATATATGTTTAAATAAAAAGGGCATCTATACACGCGGGGTTATAGTGAATTGCCCGAATAAGAACATCATTGGACCTCTCCCATCAGCAGAAATGTCACTTTAAGTGTTTACAAATAACTTACATAAAGTTTCCGAAAAGAGCAAAGCGAGCGAATTGAAAGATTTAAACTATAAATTGGACGTCCGTTCATGCAATGTGCTACGCCGCTTCACATAGAGAAAATTATCAATTATTATTAATTGTAGCTATTTTAGTATATATATGGTTTAATTGATCTCTATATGTTTAATTAGCAATGCTCCAATAGCATCAACATAAATTATAATA